TAGAGAGAACATATTAATCAAATCTACAAATAATCAAATCCGCAAAAGTCAAAGCCACAAATGTGAAGGGCCAACTGTATCATTATTTGGACCACAACGCATTTTTTGGTTCCGCCATGTTGGCTGGCAGATTTGGAGAGATGCGTTCAAACCTCCCTAAAAACAACAACCGCCATCCTTCAGTGTCTTTTCCCAAGTGACATTATCCAGAGGGAAAAAGCCGCATGGATCTCTTGCACAACAAGCAACCGAATCCGACGCTTGACCGCAGAAGTTTTCATAAACTGCAGCCTGCACAGGATTGTGTGGTTTGTGTGTGTGGCAGCAGACTAGGAAGTATTATCCTTAGTTGGTTGTGTGTGTGTGTGTCTGTGTGTGTATAGACAAGAGCATTGTAAACACTGGGGCCAAAAGGCCATGCAATAGAAGAGGTCCAGTCTGTGACCTTTTCTTTGCAAAGTTCAGCTAAGCGGAGGGATCAGCCATCTAAGCCATGGGCTCCTATGTCTTGGGCGTAATGCATTTTTATAAGCTAATTAGCCTAATTACATTTAACTGAATTTGCTCAGCAAATTGTTCCAAATTGGGAGCTTAAGGCCGCAACTCTAGCCATGCTCCCTTGGAAGGAAGGCACATGAAACTGAAAGGGACTTACTCCTGTGTAAACCCACTCACCCAAAGCTGCCTCCTTGCATCCCTTAAGACAGACATTCGGTTTCACTTGTCCATTTTGGACATTGATGCAGAGACAGGGCTGTCATATTCTAGTTCTTCATATCCGGGCATCTCACTGGCATTGTATGCAATTTATTATAATTATTTGTTGAGTTCCTTCAAGTTGTTTCTGACTTATGGCAACCCTAAGGCTCACCCTATTTTCTTGGCAAGTTCCTTCACAGAGGGTTTGTCATTGTTATCCTCTGAGGCTGAGAGTGTGTGACCCCTAAGGTCACCCACTGGGCTTGCATGGCCGAACTGGGATTTGAACCCTGGTCTCTAGAGTCATAATTCAATGCTATATATATTGTTTTTGTGATGACTTGTATGTCTTTGCATTTTAGAATCTTTTCTAGTTCATTTCTAGCCCCCCCCCCTTCCCATTCTTAGTCTTCTTCTGTTTTCCTGACTGCAGTCCCCATCTCTATCAATGTTTGATCCCAGGGATGGGAATTTTTTAACTATTTCTATTTCTTCATTATCTAGGTTGAACTTGTGAAGGTCCTCTGTAGTCATTATTTTTGTTTTCTTTATGTTCAACCTTAAGCCTGCCTTTGCACTTTCTTCTTGGATCTTCCTTAGGAGGTGTTCCAGGTCTGTGAGGTTTTCTGCTAGTACTATGGTGTCATCTGCATATTTCAGATTGTTGATATTCCTTCCTCCTTCTTCTGTGTCCAAGCATGCTTTCCTTACAATATATTCTGCATATCAGTTGAATAGGTAGGGTGATAGGATGCAGCCTTGTCTGACTCCTTTTCCAATTGGGAGCCATTCTGTTTCTCCATCTTCTGTCCTGACAGTAGCCTCTTGTCCTGAGTGCAGATTCCTCATCAGGACTATCAGACGCCTTGGCACTCCCATGTCTTTAAGGGCCTTCCATAGCCTTTCATGGTCTATGCAGTCAAAGGCTTTGCTATAGTCAATCTGCAACCCTAAAATCTGGACTGCCAGGTGGGTGCCTCTTCCATTGTTACAATTCTCCTACTAGCTGGCGTGTGTCTGTGTGTTGGTGTTAAAAGTACATGAGTCCTCTCCAGTTTTCAATCTGGCAACCCCAAAGTATGGACTGCCAGACAGCTGCTTTTTCTATTGCTACATTTCTCCCATTAGATGCTGGCTGGTGTGTGTGTGTTAAAACGACAGCCATCGTCTCCAGTTTTCAATCTGGCAGTCTTAAAGTCTGCCAGAAGGATGCTTCTTCCACTGCTACAATTCCCTCATTGGATGCTGTGTGTGTGTGTGTGCATTAAAAGTACAAGGATCCTCTTCAGTTTCCAATCTGGCAACCTCTTCCACTGCCACAGTTCTCCTGGATGCTGGCTGATGTGTGTGTTTGTATTAAAACTACAGAATTCCTCTTCAATTTCCAGTCTGGCAACCCCAAAGTCTGCCAATTGGGTGCCTCTTCCCTTGCTGCAATTCTTCCACTGGATGCTGATGGGTGTGTGTTTGGGTGTGCACGTGTGTTGTGTTAAAAGTATATGAGCTCTCTTAGTTTCCAATATGGCAACCTCTTCCACTGCTACAATTCTGGACGCTGGCTGGTGTGTGTGTGCGCGCATGTATATGTGTGTGAGGCTTGTGTTTCTGGGGCTGGGTGCCTTTAGGAGGCGATCAATCCCTTGGCCTGGCTTAATTCCCTTGTCTAGACGGTGGAGGGGTCTGGCGGCCCCTTATCTCCCCCTGGCATCACCTGCAAGTGATACTGGGAGGGTGGCTGGGGGGATCTGGAAGGGGGTGTGCAGCCCAAAAGTGGAACTAGAAGGAAGCCAGGGGGATGCAAGCAATCCTATTAAAGCCCTTCACCTTCAAAGCCCCTTTTGCATCTCCAAGGATGCATCTGTTGCATTTCACAGCTTGGAGCATCTTGCTGTTGTTGTTGTGTGCCTTCAAGTCATTTCTGACATGATCACCTATCATGGGGTTTCTTGGCACGGGCTTGCTCAGAGGGGGTTTGCCATGGCCTTCCCTTGAGGCTGAGAAAGTGTGACTTGCCCAAGGTCACCCAGTGGGTTTCCAAGGCTGAGCTGCGCTTCGAACTGTGGTTTCCAGAGCTGTATCCCAAGGCTCAAACCACTACAAAATCCAAAATCCACAAAACAGCAATACCTTTATTGGGCCAACCCAAATGCACAAAATGCACAATGCAAGTTTTTGGAGCTCCACTGGTTTCTTCGTTGGATAAACATATGAAAAAAAATCATAGAGAGAAAAATAAGCAACCTGAGGATGTTAGTCACAGGGCTGCATTTTCTTAAGGTGTTGTGATGTTGTTGTTGTTGTTCTGTGCAAACAGGATGGCGACATCTTGGGTTTCAGAAGGGACCTTTTTGTATTGCTGCTGTTATTGTGTGCCTTCAAATCGTTTCCAACTCATGGTGACCCTAAGGCAACCCTATTATGAGGTTTTCTTGGCAAGGTTTATTCAGAGGTGGTTTGCCACTGCCTTCCCCTGAGGCTGAGAGAGTGTGACTGCCCAAGGTCAATCAGTGGAATCAAACCCTGGTCTCCAGAGTTGAGGATGGTGGTATCTAAATGCAATAAACAATGCCATTTCTACACTTTCATTGATTAGGTCGATTGAGAGAAGAAAAAGGATGAAAGTACACAATTAAAGGCAGAATGATCAGATAACAAGAGGATCTATTTTCCACATGGACACTTTTGCCTACACAGACACACCTAGGCCTGAATCCTATTGGTTATTCCTAAGGTTGGACCCACTGAATCCATTGTTGAACGAAGAGCCAACATGTAGGTAAATCTATTTTGATTCACTGGAGCTCCTCTGTTGTTGTTGTTGTTGTTGTTGTGTGCCTTCAAGTCCTTTCTGACTTATGGAGACCCTAAGATGAACCTATCATGGGGCCTTCTTGCCAAAGTTGGTTTGGAGGAGGTTTGCCATTGCCTTCCCCTGAGGCTGAGAGAATGTGACTTGCCCAAGGTCATCCAGTGGGTTTCATGGCCGAGCTGGAAATCAAACCCTGGTCTCCAGAGTCACAGTCTAATGCTCAAACCACTTACAACTATGCTGGCTCTTCTAGTTGGGACTAATAATGAAATTCAGGTCAATATCTCTGTTGAAGATACTCTAATCTGTTGGAAGTTCGTCCAACCAATGTCTGCACAAAAACAACAACAACACACACAAACACAAAAGAAAACCACACCAGAGCTGGATTCTCATCCATCTCTCTTGTGTGTAACTCATTTCTAATTAAACTTCCAGCCACCACCATTCATGGCCTCCTCACTTTGATAGAAACTCATGTTTCTATCAAACACGAAGCCATGTAAGAGTAAGAGAGCTCAATTCAGGGGGCTCTTTCAATTAAACATTTAATTGCAATCCTGATCTGGTTTCTTGGGAGGTTAATCACAGCTGTCTTAATTATTTATAGCTTTTTTGGGGCAAAACTCTGCCTTAAGCAGACGTCTTTGTAGTAGTGTACAGTCTGTTGCATCTTGCGGGAAATCCCATCAGCAAAGGACGGATCCCTGCCATGATCTTGTGATCCCATTTTCAAAATAAAAATACTAAGCAGAAGAAAAAAAAAGTCTTCACATAGTTCTTTATTTTTACCAAGACTCAACACTACTGTAAAGAAGGCAAGTAGATGGGTTTAATGCACAAACTCTCTCCAGGAGAGGACTAAGGAATACTGTGTGTTTGCTTTCCAACCTGACTTTTGAGACACAAACATGAACTGATCCTAGTTGTGAAGGGTTGGTGATCAATGGGGAGAGGCAGGTAAACAACAACAACAACAACAACAACAACAATAATATAATGGTAGTATTATGTGCTTTCAAGTTGCCTGTTGACTTCTGGCAACCCATGAATTTCATAGGGTTTTCTCAGCAAGGAAGACTCATAGTTTTGCCAGTTCCTCCCTCTGAAATATAGCCCACAGCACCTAGTATTCTTCCATCCATGTACTAACCAAGAATGAACCTGCTTAGCTTCCAAGATCAGACCGGATGCTGCCTTTAAGGGTATTTATAGTCAATGGATAACCCTAACTCCTTCCCTTCTAAGCCATTCTTGGAGGAAACTTTAATGTAGGCTTCTCCATCCAGTACTGGACACTCATCTCCATTTTGATGACCCAATGTCATGCAGGTTTTTCAGAAGCTGTTGTTGTGTGTCTTCAAGTCGTTTCCAACTTATGGCGACCCTTTCATAGGATTTTCTTTGCAAGATTTCTTCAGAGGAGGCTTGCCATTGCCTTCCCCTGAGGCTGAGAGAGCGTGACTTGCCCAAAGTCACCTAGTGGTTTTCATAGCAGAGCCGGGAATTGAACCCTGGTCTCCAGAATGACAGTCCAATGCTCAAACCACTACACCACACTGATAATAAGAATAAAAGGCAAGAGTGGTTAAGACAGACTTCTAGGATGGACCTGCAATGCTGAACACAAAACAGAGAGAGGACACATGCAAGGTAACAAGGTGGCTGAGAATAATTGCATACCTGTCCCAATGTACAATGCTTGCTTTGTTGGCTCCCCTATATAGTATCTTGCTCAATACAGACATTGTGAAACCGTTCAATTCTATTTCTTGCAGACATAAATCCACTTACAGGACCTAAGTCCCCAAGTGAATTCTGGCCTGTATTTGAGTCAGTCTCAAATCTGTCGTTCCTTAAATAAAATACATGTGTATTCATGTTTGTTGTACATGTGTGTCTTCATTTCCGACTTATGGCGATCCTCTCGTGGGGTTTTCCTGGCAAGATTTGTTCAGAGGTGGTTTGCCATTGCCTTCCCCTGAGGCTGAGGAATTGAATCCTGGTCTCCAGATTCATAGTCCAACACTCAAATCACTATGCCATGCTTATTTTGGCCTGCCTAAATACCTTAAAGGCACCAAATCTCATCCAAACTTGGAGGCTGCTAAACACAATCAGTCCTGGTCAGTACTTGGATGGGAGACCATCAAGGAATACTAGGTCCTGTAGGCTATATTTCAGACTAAGGAACTGGCAAAACCACCTCTGAGTACTCCTTGCTAAGAAAACTGTATGAAATTCATGGGGTCACCATAAGTCAGCAGGCAAATTAAAGGCACTACATACATACGTATGTGTGGAACATGTCAGCACTAACCACTCTCTGGTTAACATTCCTGTTTTGTGTTTGTTTATATAGTATTAATTTCCTATTATTTGTTCCTTTTGGAAAGTAATCTGGGTGGCGTACATGATTCTTCCAATTTACCCTTAAAACAACTTTTCAAGATAGGTTGGGCTGACAAGGTAACTGGTCTAAGGTCATCTATTTTCATGTTAGGCATTTAAACAAATTTGTCCAGGCTCTCCAACAAACGTATTGTAGTTATCTGATGTTGTGGTGAAAGAACAACAACACCGTCACCAGTTTAATATTGCTTTTAATACATTTTGTGAAAACTCTCACCACTTACAAACTCGTGGGATCAGCCTTTGAAAGAACACACGCATCTTCTTTTGCAACGCTTCCCTCAAAATCCAAATAAATTGGAAAGAGAGCCCAAGGAGGCATTATATTTCCATAGCTTATTACTGTCTAAATTTGGGGTTTTGTGCTTTCTAAAGAATGGAATTACATCGGGATCATTCATATATAGAGAGAGGTATAAAAAGTTATACAAAACAAGACAACAAAATGAAATAAATTATTTTATTACAAGTTATACAGAATAGGACACAGAGAAAAATTTTCCTACTGTCCAGTCCTTTTCCACACTGAAATACTGTAAATGGAGGAAAGGAGGCTAATGCTCTCTTCCCAAATAGCATCCTAAGGGAGCATCCTAAGGTGTATTTTCATCCCTTAAAATGCCCAATTTTAATTTAGCTTGTGTAGAAAGGCATCCTAGTTCAATGTGTTCACTGTCTCTGTTCTGAGCCAAATGCCAGCATCTTTACAGTGCAAAACGCCAACACCACGTGGTACAAAGAAATGTGATGTAGCATAACCTTCTTATCCAAATCAAAGGGTTCCTGATGCATAGCTTTCTCTCCCAAAGAGATACAACATCCACCATCCACAGCCAGTCCCCTCAAGACAACTGGGGTGTGTGTGTGTGATGAGTTTTAGCCTACCACATCCGAAGGCCACTGGGTTGGGTGGACTGATGTAGCATGTAGTGAAGAAAAACCAACATATTTTTCAAACAACAAAAGAGCTTTTTAAAGGTATGTACAATTCTTTTGACTGAAATAGTGCAAATTGCATATTTTAATATAGATACTTATATAAATATTTATCTACAAATATTTTTAATACAAAAAACCATCTTAACAACGTCATGAATCATTTAACCATTAAAAAGAGTTAGAGGAAAATCGAAATGGGGGGGGGGGGGGGGAAAGGTTATTTTTTCTCTTTCTTCAAGAAGAATTGTCGCGCCTCTTCCCAAGTCTGGCATGGGAACCTGTTACAGAGCTCAAGGTAATATTGGGGACTGAAGATCTTTTCTGTTTAAGAAAGGAAGAAAGAAAGAAAAAGAAAGGTAGGGGAAAGCAGAAAGAAATGCTATTGAGAACTGTTTTGTTATATAGAGAAAAAAAATGGATTAGCAAACATGTCCGCACATATATAGTGCAACCCTGGGCATGTTTAATCAGGAGTGTTCCTTCCAAGAAAATATGCTTAATCTAATATAATCTAATAATTTATTGCATAAGCAGTTTCTAAAGACTCTTTTATACTGAGATTCACTTGGCTCAATCGGGTGACGTCACTACTTTCATCAGACTGGTGTGAAATGATATATATGTTTAATAAACTGAATTTAAAACTAAAAACAAACACTCAGAATAAACTCTTTTGCTTCAAGTCAGCCATTTCCCATAGAATCGACATTTCAAAACTGATTTGAAAGAATACTGCTTAGTAACCTCAGAGGGCCTTCTTGGTGGCTGTGACCAGAATCCTGGAATTCGCTTCTGAGAGAGGCTAGATTAACACCCATTTGGCTATAGTGTAGGCAGGTAAAATATTTTTTTTGTTTCAGCAGGTCTTTCAGGACTGAACACTCAGGGTGAAAGTTTTTCCCCAGAATGTGCTGTACTGTTATTTGTTGTTTTCTTTTTAATGCTCATGCTTCCAACTTCTTTTAATTCACTATTATAGTTTAACTATATTTTTGCAGAATGTGAACTTTAAAGCTGTGGCTGTTTCAACCTTTGCAAGCTGTCTTGAGTGTTGGGAGAAGGAAAAAGGTAGACTATAAATACCGACTCCAACTCCTCCTCCATCTCCTCCCTGGTTGTATGTTTTGTGTTAGCTGACAATCCTTTTTTCAGGTTTTCTCTCAATATTATAACCAAAAGGAATGGCTTTTTCCACAGTTGCATTATCCAAGAAAAGCAGGAGGCAAGTAACATTTCAGTCTATTTACCTCTTAAAAACAGCAGTGTAGAATATTGTCTGCTATGCAACTGCTAATTTGATATATTGATATGGTACACCTACCCTTTTGTTGGCAAGGCTGGTTATCTGTCTGGCTCGAACTGTGCGTGAAATCCTACAGAGAGAAAAACCAGTGAAGTTCAGTTTCTCAGATGAAAGCGTAAAACCAACACATACACCCCCATTGTTTTTAAAACAACTGCACAATGCAACTGGATTCCAACTTGCTTGCAAGACAGCAGGCTTGCATTACATACACCCTAACTTCACAATAAGACTCTGAAGCGAAGTGACACAACCCTGAAATCAATCACAGCTTACCAAAATAACCGACTGTATAGTTGTGAAATATCTGGAAAGGTTTTCACTGTAGTAAAGTTGGACTTTTAAAAATGTCTACCTACCTATTAAAGAAAATTGTTAACGGCTATTGGTTTGAGAGTATAAATTATTTTTTTCTATACTGAATGAATAAATATTATTTCATTACATCAAACAGTGCTCATGTGAAGAATAAAATTTTCACAGTATGACTCGATTTATTTCTTGCGACTGCTACTGCAAAATCAGTAAAGATGGCTGAGGTTTGGATTTTTTTATGTTATAAATCCAGGACCATGAAACTCTTTTTCACAAGAGAGGTTGTAGCTCAGAGGTACGCTGCTTTTGCAAGCCCAAGATTCTCCATTGAAAGGACTCTTCTTTGGAAAGAACTGACAAAAATAACTCTAGAAAGCAGCTTCCAGCTAGTGTAGACAATAATAAGAAACACCTAATGGTCTAAGTATACAGTGAAAAAATATATGTTCAAAAAATCTGTTAGAGTCAAAAACACAGTCTAAGAAAATGCCCAAACCCTTTTATTCAGCATTCACTGCTAAACATACTTGTAACAGATCATTGTCCTACTTCAGTGAACCAGCAACTCAATTTTTTTCTTGTTCTGCTGATCTAATAAATGTTAATTGCTTAGATTTTATTATTCACACTGAAAATATTTTCTTGAGAGGCAGGTTAATATTTTTCTAAACAAAATGGAACACAATGCTTAGCTCAGCTCCATGGTAAGAAAATCAGCATCAAAAATTATGGACCTCGAATTTTGCCATGGAGAAATAAAGTGACGTTTGCCCTTTAAATATACAGATATCATAGATGACTTAGGAAAGGAGCCATCAGTGGACACAAAACATGGTTGGACAATAATGCTCTCAGTCTTAATATGGATATGATCATATATTTACTGTCACACATAGGACAGGATCCACAGAACTCTTATATACTGACTATATACACTCCAAGAAACATTAGACTTTCACAGGCAGCAAATTTATTTGGAAGAGGAGAGAGGTCTGAAAAGTAACTTGTGACATGGCAAGGGCTGGAGGTGTTTGTGTGTGATATTCAACAAAAGGAATAGTTAGAAGTGTCAACTGGAAGCATACAAATCCTTGAGCGGTGTACCTACTCTTAGAAACTTGGCTATGAATTTGATCAAGTTGTGGATTTTGCCTCTGACTTTTTTTAAAGATGGAAATTATGAATTAATATCAGCAGCGATGGTTCATGGAAGCATTTGTATTGCAAGTCATCAAGAACGTAAGTATTTACTGGACTGATCAGTGTTATGTTGAACCTTTGGGCTATGGCTATCTACTAAACCATATGGTACAAAACAGCCCACTATGGAATTTGGGACATGAAGGGCACATGTTTAAGACAGGATGCTATACTTAAACCTCATACAATGGTCTGATTTAAATTTAAATTCTTTCAGTAGTGACTAAAGTTACCTTATCATCCTGAAAAGCAATGCCCCTATTGTCCTGAGGTATTATCTACGGAGTCATACTACTGGGCTTATTCCATTGTACTATAACTAGCTAGCAGACTAAACTGGCCTCAATATTCTTGTTAAAGTAATATAGTAATAGAGTTTCCTTCTTTAACAGAAA